ACTAGAAGTGGATATCAAAACTAAAATAATAAATACTTATAATCAAGACAACAAATACCAAATATAACAAATACAAAAACTAAAGTAATAAATACTAAACTAAGTTTTTATATGTAAAAAAGCTTACAAGAATCTTCTAAATCAAATAAAATATACTCAGCTTATTTTAAGTAAAGAGCATCCACTATCTAAGTTTTTCAGATAAAAAAAACTTGTAAATAACCAGAATATAATCTATTATAATAGAAGAGGTAAATAAAAGCAGGATATCAAGGCAAAAATCAAAGGAAAATTATAAGATAAGTATAAATCAAGTATTATTAAGAATAATTAAATTATTACTATTCAAGTACATTTATTTCAAGTCTTAGAGCAGAGATATTTATATATCTTTGAGACTTTACAAGTTTTTATCTAAACTTATTTACTACTCTAGATTATAATTACAAACTTTAAGATAAAGAATCAATAAATGAACAAGTAAAAATAAAAGATAAGATATATATGGTAAGTTATAAGATAATACAAATAACAAAATAAAATAAAAAGATAAGATATATGTTCTAAAAAGAAAAGATAAAAGATAAAAATAAACTGAATCATTTCTAAAGTATTTCTGAACTGTTATTGAATCATATGTGAATTGTTATTGATTTCAGGGCTAATTCTTCATTCATGATCTTGAAGTGTTACTAAAATATTGCAGAAACATTACAAAAATATTATTAATTTGTGATTGAATCCATAACTGATACACTAATTATATTATTCAAAATCATATTTTGTTTAAAGATTAATTGATTGGCTAAATCTTCCAAGTTCAAAAAATTATGAAATTAAAGAAATTTATGTTACTATGATAATATTAATAAATATATATAAAAAGTTAAATAATTTTTTATAAATTATAATAAATCTAAGAAATTAAGTTTTTTATTACTAATTTTATATTAAATTTATTGATAAATATAATGAAAATTAAAAATTAATTATTTTTATATTTATAATTAATAAAAAAACTTAATTTTTTAGATATTTTAATTTAATAAAAAATTATTTAAAAAATATAATATATTTTTTAATATTTATTAAAAAAGATTACTTACTTAAAATTATTTAAATTATTTATTAAATAATATTAGTATTATTTTTTAATTAATTTTTTATTAAAAAATTAACTTTAAAAAACAATTAGAAAAATTTTATTATGTAACTTATATATTAAAATTAAATAATTTTAATTATAGTTTTCGTTATTATAAATTAAAATTTATTATATCTTTATCAGAATTTTTCTAAAAATTTCTTATAATCTAAAAAATTTTTTGAACTGAAATTCAAATTCATAAGAGATATTACTTTCTAATTATTAAGTTTATATTTTATTTTATATATTTTAAATAACAATTATTTATTTATAAAATTTTTTTTAATTTCAAATTTCAAAAAATAGTTAAGATTTTTGTAAAAATTTATGATTTAATTAGAAATAAATCACTTAATATTTAATATTAATAATAATTATACAATAATTCAATATTTACAATTATATTTTTATATAATTATAAATCGAATGTTGTGTATTTTTTAATATACTAATAAATTCTGATAATTATAAAAATTAACAAGTTAAGCATTAACTAGATTACAAATTCAATAAATAGTAATTTATTAATATTTGATAGTTATCCAAATATAAATTTTTATAGAGTTGTTTATTCTCTATGAGATCTTTTGAATGTCATTTTGGATAAATAAATGAACTATGAGAAATTATAATAAGCTTAGTATCAATTTTTATTAATTTAAATTTTAATCTATGCGAAAAAAAGAGAATTAAAAATACAGGATAACTATATATGGATTTAGTTTTGTCTAGTATATCAAAAAAAGGAATTTGTAGTTATAAAAGATAGGTAGATAGAAATTATATTGAAAAAGAGCAAAGTGATGCAACAAAAATAGAATAATTTTATATTTTTAAAAATTTAGAAAATTAGTAGTTCACATTATCGTTATTCATCATATAATAATCAAATACATGATTATTTTCAAATTTATTAATATTAAGATTAAAAGTTTTAATTACCACTAAGGATTAGTAGCATTACCATAACAAATATTATTGCAATGAGCGTCCACTGCAATTTAAAGATGCATGTATATAATAACATAAGCAAGCGTTTATAGAAAATAGTAATAGAAATTATATGGTATAAACAGATTTTTTAATCAAAATTTAATTATTTATTTTTTTGGGACACTATAAAACATTGAATATTTCAGGTCGAAATATTCAGTAATTTGATCTTATATAGTTTTAATTGAACAGTTAAAAATGTAATAGATTTTAAAATTTTCTGTCACTTCTGTTAACAGGTGTTGATAAATAGGTTGCAAACACGGGGTTAGAGGTCAGCAATTCATGTTCATGATCATGTTGACAAAAAATTTGTTGTGACGTTGAACACCTAAAGATATTCTAACGTTAAATACACGTAGTGGATTCGTAAAAATTTATTGGATTTAACGGGAATTTGGACATCCTTTGGCGGATTTTGGACTGCTTGAAGCATCAAACGGGTTGTGTTTAAAAAAGATTAGCTCAAAAAAACTTGTTATAAAAATAGTGTTAACACTTTAGCCAAAAATCAAAGTTATATTAATCCAATTAAACTTATCGGCATGTAAAACAATTAAAATTCATTCAATTTCCGGGCTTTTCTTCCATAATTGGAAATATCTCCATTTCGCCATCACGTTTAAATGTTGAACGAAAATCACAGCCCACTTCTTTATTGGTGCAAATTTTACTGATTAAACTAATCCAAACTTATATGAAGCACGGAAAGCATCATGTACGTGTTATTAACTCCTATTATAACAAATAACGTTTGTGGTATTGGATTTCAATCAATCCTTCATACTAATTGTGCAAACAGTAAAAAAAAGTTAATGTAGACAAAACAATGAAATCGATTCTTAAGCCAGATTGTTTTAATTTTATTATGAAATGATACTTGTTTGGTAAATTAAATGAGGAAAGCGAGTGTTATTAAAAAGACTGATGGAAGTTTGGTAAGACCGAGTTAAAGTTTTATCTACACCGAATTCCATTAGTTAATATCAATAAAAAGTTTATATAATTCGCTTGTTATGAATGATAAAAACTTTGGGCGCGGACACAACAAGTTTAGCCCGGCTTTTTTCAAGGTTAATTGCTCTTTAAGGACAAGATGATTAATATTGGTCCTTAATCAAACAAAATGCAAACAATTGTCCGTCCCCACGCTAATGAAAATACTTTATCAAGTCTTTCGTCAAGTTAGATCGACTTTGCGTTCTAAATATAAGTTTGAACTGTTCAACGATTCTTGTGATTCCAAAAAAATCCAAGATCTATTTATCAGATTGATAAACTTTAGATGCGTCAAAATCTTGCGATTAACGCGAAACAACAACAATTTACAAAAAGCTATCGCAGCAACGTAGTTGAGATTACGTACAATGAACGAAAGTTTTGCTTTTCGATCTTAATTGATCAATAGAAATCGTATATATTATCTTCGTTTAACTCTCTCGTATTTCAATAATTTTTTTATTGATCTATTCGAAAGCTTCAAAAACACCCTTTTCTGAATGTGGCCGGTTATTTCTAAGATATAATTATCAATTTACGATATCAATGATTTATTTCTTCAACGTATTCATTTATTCTTACTTTAATTCACCTCGCTTTTATTCTTTTTGATTAGATGATTGGTTGTCAAATAAGTGAACAAACCCTATAAGATTCTACGCGCTAATATTAACGCGTATAAAACATTTAAGAATACTTTTTAAATAACATATAGTAATAAAGTCATGTGTTAGCCTCGTTATTCTTTGTCTCAATAAAAATTTTTATTCGTCGGTAAAAAATTTTGTTTACTTATGTAATTCAGTTAAGTGATTGCTTGGAAAATCAACACTAAGGAAAAATCCCTTCCGCTGCAATACTACATAACAAAAAAACATTATCATGATCGAAGTTCAGGATCTCTAGTTTCAGAATTAAAAAAGAATTTAACCTATGTAAAAAACATTATATATCTAAACAAGGTTCACTAAGCTTGTGACATATGTTATTTTTAATACTCGTACTAGGTTTTCCATTATTATAAAATATGCGCCAAGATGGAGCTGAAACGATACTTACCTGATTCGTATCATCAAAGGAACAATTGACAATCGTACGCTACGTATAATACATGTAACGTATTTATATTGTCAGAATTGGAATTTAGTCTCAGCGTCAGAGAAATTCTTTATCGTATCGTTGTTAATAAAGTTACACAACCAGCATGCATAGACATGTTAATATTAATGTCATAATATTAAAAGGGCAACAAAAATAAAACACAATAATACATAATATGATAAATGCATTTAATTCGAAACAAAGGGAGATAAATTTTATTCAAGTCACACACATACATACGCGCGCGTGTATTCTTTATGTTATTTACGGTAATGATATGCATTCTTTCAAATATCGTCCGTTCGGATATTATCCTTATGTATTTTTAGAATTGTTTGTTTCTGTTGATGGCTTATATACGTACTTTATTATGCACTGATTATGTTTAAATAATTGCCACTATTAATTGATGTGTTTGTGAACGTAAGAGCGAACTGTTAGTTAGAAGTAAATAGTGGTAATGAACCCATATGTTTTTCTTTCTATGATTCTGTGAATCAAGAAAATACGAATAACAATAATAATTATATCACGAGACGTTTCAGAAAATAAACCCAAAAAAAACCATTACGTTAGATTATTAACCAACAAACAATCCATACCACCACCATTACTAAAATTAACTATTATCAAATCAAACAAAACAACCCTAATTAAAACAACACTCTTTTGAGAATACTGTCTGGACAGTCAAGAAACACAGAGTCAACACGATTATTATTCCCTCAGAGACTGTTCACTGCTCACTAAGCGCGCCATAATGACCAACTCATTTGATATAATTTCGCACCCATGCCCTTGGCCAGCATGTACTTACGGATCAGAGAATATTGGAAACATTTTAGATCATTTCACGAGCAACCATTGTAATCAAATATCGATAAAGTTGCTGTCATTCACTCGATTTGGAGTTGCCATCGAAGACGAAAAAAAGAATTCTTCAGGAAATTTGAGCTCTAAAATAAGAGAAAAAAATCTTGGGGACGACCATAACTATAATCATAAAAATTACCGCAATAACTATCGTGCTAACTCCGATAATCTGAACTCTATAAGTCATTCTGACGGAAGTTACTTGACGGCGAAGGAAAGAAGTGGCTATTCATACAAGTACGGATCATATGAGGAGATTTCAAGGGTAAATAACACCTTTAATTTTATTTCGTGATTAGCGAATGCCTCCCATAATAAACTAATTGAATTCTTTGATAGAAAACCGAAAATCTGGAGCAAAGTAACGATAATTTACGACAAGTTCTGTTAAATCCTCGAGAACATAATCATCGACTAAAACTGTTCAAAGAGCAGCGAGACTTCTCAACGAAAAAAGAAACAATGGACCGAAAACAAAAACGAAATTGCATGATACTTGCACGAAATAAAAGTCTGGTCTGGAACCCAATTTCAAAGGAACTGTGGTTCCAAGAACGGTCGACAACGAGTTGAATATGCTAATTAATTGTACATTTTTAATTTGTAAAGAGAATTTTATTACTAGATTAGTAGTGTAAATTATAATTATTTGCTATTATTTTTTTTAATTATTTACCAAGACTTATTTACCCTGAATCCCTAATCCTTTTTTAATATTATTTTAAATGCATAACGATAATTTTTTCAATAAAGCATATAAACTAATATGCATATTAATGATGCATTTAATGTGTGATTTCTTTGCACAAAAAATTTAAAATTTCGCCCACCACAACTGATTCAAATAATTTCAACAATGCATGTCGCAATAATTAATTTTCCACATTAATTAATAATAATAACACCTCAGATTTGTCATGTATGAAGCAAAAAGAGAATTGAATCAACAAAGGAATTTGCAAATGTGATAAAGATTTTGACTTTATTTTGGTTGTCTTTATTTACTTTTGAATGTTTTCTTATCCTGCTTGCTGTCTTAATAGAGATAAAAAAAAATAATGAATTCTTTGCACTTAAAAAAATTTATATTAATTGAGAATATAAAAAGTCTTGTTTTAATTCACTCGTTGAAATAATGATAAAGTGTTTAACCACCCCTATAATGTCTTTGTACAATAAAAATAAATAAATACATAAAAAATATTAACATTAATAATATGATTGATATATGGTGAAATAAATAATTTAATCGTCGAAAAGTTGAAATTCGATGGGTTTAGGTGAACTCGATCGGGGTTGTGATCGAGCGGAGGAGGAAGAAGAGGAAGAAGAAAAAGAATTAGTTCGACTGGGTGCAAAATTGTGCGATCTTTGAAACTCTGAGAGAGCTGAGCTCTGCGAGTAAAGCAATGTTTTTGTAGTTTCTTGATGCATGCAATTAGCATTTATTGTCTCTGGATGATAATTGGTGTATTGCCAATAATTTCTTAAGGGATCCACGTATTCTGCTATTGTAGTTGGTCGATAAAAAGAATTGTTTCTCTCTATTTTTGATCGTGAATATTTAAAATGCGGATTTATATAAGTATTGTTGCTAATGTTATGATTGTTAGCTATAGTATTACTAATATGTTTTGGCGGTGGTATATGATGCGAGTTTGGTATAACTGTTCGTTGTAAAGCCTCAGGAAGAAAGTGTTGCATCTTACAAGTGGATAATTTTTTTGATGATGTTGATGATGATGATGATGATGACAAAGAAGCCGAAGCAACCGAAGATGATAATGGGGATTTTCGTGAATTTTTCTTAACTTTAGAATTTTTCGGTGATGTGTTTGGAGAAATCTTTGATCTCGCTTTCGTCTTTATCTCAGCAGCCACCTTTTTATTTCTGCCCTGCATTGAAGTAGTAGCTGAAGATGATGACGCCGGTATTTCTGCTTGATACATAATGAATTTAAATTGTCCCGGTTGTTGTGGTAATTTTCTTGGAATTCTCGTAGTTATATTAGACGCGGCTAATGCTTCATTTGCGATGGAAGAAAAGGGAGGTAAAGTAATTCCTTTCTGACAAATTGAGGCCATCTTTCTTTTGATTTACACTAATATAAAAAAAACAATGGTTTATATTTTTTTTTTCTTAGGCAATTTTTTTCTTTCTAGGAAAGAGATGGACTGACAGAAGCCTTTATATTTTTTTTTATTTTTATTTTACTTTGTTTGATTGATTTGTCGTAATAATAAATTAAAGATATATTGAAATATATTTAGTATTAGATGGATTGAATGATGATGAGCTAATGACCAAACCCCTTCGTTGATTCAACCTTTATATAACAAAAGTTTTTTATTCATAGAACAGCGGTAAAAAAAATTGATTGATACACAACAATTTATCTTATTTTTAATACTGTATATGTTATTTTAAGCGTAATAGAGTACTAATACGGAAAAGATTGGGTCAATCGGGTATGAGTATTGATCGTCGTTAGCGTTAGACACCGAAAATCGAAAGTCTAGGATTTGTTGTGCGCTCACAAACAACAAATATTACCATTTCAGGATTGAAATTTTTGTTTATGATGTCTATTTGCTGCGAATGCTGCGAGAGTGGGTATTACATCAATTCTCTTTCGGAATATTTGTGATCCGCAATTATGTTCTGCTGTTAGCAGATTAATATTCGAAATGTCGATTGATTGGTGCAGTTCATTATCATTATCATTTTTTTCGTTACCAATGTTCGTATTATCATTCGTTAATATTATACGTTACGATAATATAATGATTTCCATTCTGGGATAGAGATGATGGATAAAATGTGCCGCGCCCACACTCGTGTGTTGTTGATGTTCGTGTGTATAATAATTAAAATCGGTCTATTATCATCAGTTTTTTCCTTGATTTCTCTTGTGCATCTGTTGTTTCGCGGGTTCTTTTTTTTTCGTCTCCCCCCACTATTCCCCCTTTATCCTCCATTTTCATTTATTATTTTTTTTCACCCACCCCTTAACTCCTAAAATTTTGCCAATATCAATCAGATAATTTTTTCTTTTGTTCTTTTTTGAAACAAATGTTTAGTGACATCTCGGGTCAATTGGGATTTATTGGCTGAGAGTTACCATTTGGAATTGAAATCATACGAAATTTTATTAGAAATCTATACTCCTTTCGGAAAATCTGTACATTGTATACACCACCATGTATACGAGAATTATTACTATGGCTAATTTCACATACATCGTAACGGTAATACATGCCTGTAGTGGGTGACATTGACATACTAAAGTAGTGACAAAAGTTGGTCAGATTTTTTGAAACGCAATAAAAAAATTTAATTTGTACGCATTATGATGGATTATTAACAATTCTTTGTTTTAAAAAAAAGGACCGAATAAAGAAAAAAGAACCACAACTGGCACCTAGTGCGTCGCACATCCAATAAATCGTATAGTTTGAATGTTTTCGCGTGCTAAAACCAATGCTTGTTTTGGATTCCTCTTCTTTTTTTTCTATTGATTCAATCCACCACCACCATTTCGACATAACAAGGAATATGGTAATCTGTTTTACACCTCATGTCAAACCATCCCCTCTCTCGTGGGGGTTTACTTTATAGTATGGGATTTATGGATTCATCTATGAATCGCTTTTCCTCAATTCTGTGTTCTTTAAAACAGGGTTTCCATTATCGGATATGTGGTACCCGTAGCGGTTATATTCCTATATACATGTATGCGTGCGTGTCGAAAAAAAAAGCGAGCATGGCATGTTGAGTATATTATGTGCGTTAAGCTAGTAAAAATTATAAATTTTCCTTAATACATGTACATGTATTAACGTATTATTATTGTTATTGCTACATGGTCGTGGTATTAATAATTTGTGTTTGAATGCATGTATATTTTGTCAAACGAATGAGACTAGGATCGGCCAATAGATTAATTCTGTATGGCGAACACATGCTATATGAATCAAAACGGCCGATCATAAATTGTGCCGAATGGACAAAGGCACGCTTCCTACGCGTGAATTTTGAAAGCGCCTCTTTTTTTTTCTTGTTTATTTCAAAGAATTTTACATGTGCTGCCCAAACATTTGTTTATTTACCACCACGAGTCTCCAATTCTCGGCCTAAATTTCCACCACTATCACAAGTTTTTAATCGGCTTCGGCTCGGCTCGGCTCGGCTTAAACCTATATTACATCATAAACAAAAAACCTAAGCATTTTTAATTATACCTGATATTAAAGCTTAATAGCGAAAATCACTCTAACTCATTTATCAAATTCTATGGCTTTCATACGTAGAATTTGGAATTTTTGAACTTGTTGTAAGCCGGATGATAATGTCACCAGTCCAGTCATAGCCATCAATGACTAAGATAAAATGGTCAGATTGAATGATTTTTTAATAACGATAATACCTATTATTGCATTTGCAGAATAACAAATAAATAGTCTTGCCACCACCATAATAAAAAGAAATTAATAATATTATTATGAGTTTTCCAAACACGTAGCTCTATTTTTATTGTCGAATTGGAAAAAAATGCATGTATTACAACTCTCTTTAATGTTTCATGAATTCAAATACATAAACTATCGAGTGATCATTAAAAAAATGCTTATCTGACGATAAGCATTTACATGTACTATTGATGTTTTACTAAAAGCCCATTCATTCAATGCGTTTTCTTTTCTTCATTTGGAAATGAAGAATGATGGCGGAGGCGTATTCTCTGCTTTAGTTTTTCCAGGGGGACTCAAATATTTACTTTCAAAAATGTTGTGCTATCAGCAAACAACAATACTTTAAACGCGTGAAAGGAATGTATTAATGGCATTTTCTCGGGTACAAAATGGGGGAAATGATAGCGTAATGACAAGAATTGAATCAATTAATTTGCATTGTATGTATCTAGCCATGAATTAATTATTAATTAATTGCGCGCGGTTCCTACGCAAATTCACTCAATCCACCATTTTATAATTGTAGTAGTCACAAGGTCCTTCAGATATAATGTCTTACACGTAACAAATTCACGCCAACGGCGATCCTCGCAAGCACTTGTTCTTCACTCTATATGGAATACGGTTTTTGAGAATCGCGTATTGACAAACTACCTTTATCCCGAAGAAATGACTATAAATTCTTTTTGCCTTTAGCTGAAAAAACGCTTATGATCATCATTGAAAAACTTCTTTTGTTTACGGATTTCAAGTGATGGAATATCATCGTGTTTTATTTACTCAGAGAACAGCAAAATACAAAATGGAAAACGAAACAGAATTGGTATACCCAATGAAGCACTAATTATCACAAGCTTGACAATAGCAAGAAAGAGAAAAGGTGAAAAGGTATAATTTATACAAATGCAAAATAAAAAACTAGAAGTGATTCGAAGTAGACACTGGCAATAATTAATACATTTTCTTACCTTCAATTTCGTTTGCTTATAGTAGATTATCTTGTCGCGCTCATTTACCCTCGTTTCTGTTCCGATCGTTCCCGGTTGTCGTGGATGCGTATATAACCTTGAACCGTGTCCGACTCTTTCAAATTTTTGCAGGCTACATCAAGAGGCGATTCATACTCGGGCACTTTGTAATTAGTTAAATCGCAAAACAGCAAAATAAGCTCTCCTCACATCACCTTGTTCTCCGTACGCTAAAGCAGTCACAATTCGCGACAGAGTGCTCTGCTTTATATCCTCGTCTACTCATGCTTCTGCTGTGAACTGCCGTCCAGCATTGATGCAATTCGTAATGGAGAAATACCCTTCTCTTCATAAAAAACATTGCTGTCATCGTCATAATCACGTGCGACTCCAAACAATCTTCTCGATCAATGGGCATTTGTTAAGTCTAAGGCATTAGAGTTCGTATCGTTAGATTCGGGTTTTCGTACGTTTCAACGTGATATTTCGTCCTGCGAAAAGTAAACGCCCAAAAGTTCGTTCGCTCATTGTCTCATATGATCCAAGTGCTCGTTCGAAAGCGAAAATTCCATGTGCGCATTCAGGCACGTATGCGTCATTACATCCGCAACCTTGTGAACGCGTGTCACAAATCGTCATTCTGTGGCTGGCTCAGACTTTTCCGTTGAAATTTGACGTCGATGGATGGGAAGACGAAAATGTGAATCGGCAATCGAGTAATGCGCAATATTTAGAAAACAGCTGGTGTCAAGGCAGAGGAACTTGTGAAGTAAGTGTTTTATGTCAGAAGTATACACAAGTGATGTAGTTGCGCGTGTGGATCGAAAGAAAGATGTTAGCGAGGATGTAAAATTAGATCCTAGGGAAGTGGCATGTATGGTTAATATCCTAGGGGTCTGTATAAAATCTCAGGTACATACAATAATAAACTGTATCATGTTTTTTAAAAAAAACTCAGCAAGGGAAGTGATTCAGTTCTATAGTGATCCAAAATGAGGTAATGTCACCCTCTTATTCCCAGCATCCTTTAACCCTAGTCATACCTAATTCTAATTTAGGTCGATTTCATAGCCCGTTTCCATATGTAAATGGCTTCCGTGGGATTTTTCCTAGGGGTTTGCAATTGGTTGTTCGCAAATAGTAAAGTTGATAACGCAAAGTAGTATAACAATGACAATATGGAAGATCAAATTAGAAAACGAAAAATCAAAATATTTACCTTATCATTACTTAAAAAAAATTTTTTAGGTCAACAAAAACCATTAAACTTGCCTGTTACTGCATTTGTGTCATTTATTATATGCTATTAATGGCAATTATCTTTGTGAACTTTTGTTTTGTAATCCTGTGTGAATAAATTACATGCATCGTCAAAAAAATTTTTTTTGGCAAATACTTTGTTGTTTCCTCATAAGGAAATTTCGACATTATATTTGTTGTGTAGCGTAGGAAAAAGGTTTAAACGAATCAGAATACGCTGAGAAATACACCGAGAAACAAAACGGGAATCTATCTGGTATTAGTCATTGTTGACAAAAGCAGCGATTAAATGAAACATGGGCGGATCAATTCTTTGTTAGATTATTCATTCACTACATGTTCTATGTCGGAAAATAGTAGGTATAAATAAATAATCTATCTAACCAAATGGAGAAGAATCGGATAAAAAACGAAACTTTTTAAGGTGATAACAAAGACAAAAATAGGTGCGCACAACCGGTTCTAACAAAATCATTAATGGTAATAGCTTTTTTATTTTCAATTCTGATTGGATCAGATTAAACAATTCCCTTTTACCCCCACGATTTGTACATTATTTTTGATTTTCGGTGAACAAAAATGTTTATTTTCAATAAAAGCATATTATTCATAATGATATTTAACAATTGTTTTATTGCGAGAGTTATTAGCCCTTAGTAGCTTATATATCCGTTGCTAATGCAATATCCGCCAATGCGTGAAGCGGATTAACATCATCAATATTCATTGATGATAACGATGATGATGATGATGATGATGATGATGATGATGATGATGACGAAGCCGTGCTAGCTGAACTTGATGTACTACTAGTGGCAGTAATTGACGAATTTTCATTGAGTGATTTAATATCGTTTGAAGATGAAGCACACGTAGAAATGACTTTTACTGGTATTTTTCGTACGACAGGGTAAGGTGTAAAAGAAGGTGGTGGTTTCCTTAGGAACGATGATGTTGTTGTCGTTGATGATTCTTGCTTTACTAAGCGAAAAGCTGATGCACGAGTTGACGAAGATGATGATGAAGAAGACGGCGACGATTTCGAAGAGAGAATTCCGTGCTCTTCATTTTTCTCCTGTTTTTGTGGTTGCTGTTGATGAGTGAATGCGCGAGGATCTGATACAATTGGATCCCTGAAGTCTAAAATAGTTTGCCTCTTAATTTTATTCTTATTACTAATACTATTATTTACCGATGGTTCGTCGGAATTACTGCTCGAAGAACTTTCAACCTCATTATTGCTACTAGCATTAATATTATAATTATTATTATTGTTGTTGTTGTTGTTGCTATTGTTGCTGTTGTTACTATTATCGTTATCAGTTGTTGAAGTTGTAACAGCATTCCATAAATGAGGCACTGAAGCAGCTTTTTCCCAAGGTTTCTCTTCTTTTTCTTCGCTCGATTTATTTTTCAAATTTCGTTTTTTCGAGTTTGGCTTGTACTGATAATCCGGAAACACGTCTGCATGAATAAGATTTCCCACAAACGCCAGAATCGTGAAAAAATTTCTTTTCTCTTGTGCCTCGTTGTTCCATCGTTGTGATGCAATTCTTGACACATCCTGAAAATGAGTATTCGGATAATTGTTTGAAAGTTCAGCAGACACCTCTTTCCGATAAATCACGTAATCGTTTTGTGGTCGCTGAATTGTTTTTCGTGCGCGGGACTGCTTGCATGGTGCTAGCAGTTCTTCGAGTGTTAAAAATGTATGCGGAATCGGAATCCCTTTTTTGATGATTTCACTTTCGATGCGAACCAGTGTACGTTCGTGCCAATATTTTTCCCATTTGTGTTTTGGCTTTTCTAGACGGGAATTTTTGTTGTGCGTTCTGCCATTGCTGCCTGAATTATTGCGAAGATTGTCATTATTAATAATGTTGTTGTCATTAGAGTCGACCATTTTTTTCGCTTGCGAGATTTGCATCGTTTATTATTATTATTATGTGAGAAAATTTTTAGAGCGTAAAAAAAGTTATGAAGCAATATTTATACGAATTATTATTATTATTTTTTTTAAGGTTTGAAGAAGGAAAGGATGAGTTTGAACAAAATCATCAATAATAGAAAGCCTAACAACTTCATTTATATCTACTTATTGTTATGCGTGCGTGATTGTGTGTCAATGTATTAACCCTATTAACCGGTAATGGTAACAGTGTTATTAGAATGTGTATGTTCCGCACTCTTAAAAAAGGGGAATACACATTGTTTGTCCTACGTTCTATCTTTGCCAATTTCCCAATTGGGGCAGAATGTACAGAACAGACTGAGGATGCTTAATTGATTCTTGATTCATTTACAACAACGATGGGCATTTCACTGGATATCAGCGAAAAAAAACAAAGTTAGATGTCCGTAAATGGGAAGAATGGACGGAATTTTATTTTTTATCATCCCTGCGGAACCAATTATTGACTATCCGATTTGTAACGTAATACGGTTAGTTTATTTCGAATTTGTAATTTAGTCATATACTGTGGCAGCAGCGTTTTCTGTCGTTATTTGATTGAAACAAACTGTGCCATTGTAAGAACCGAAATAAAACGAATAACCAAACGCATACACACACACACACACACACACACACACACGCTGAAAAAGAAAAAGCAAACCGACAAATTTGGAGTTCAAAGTAAAACATCGTCGGTTATCCGTTTAATCGATTTTGTTAATTGTTCCCAAAAAATGAAACAATATGATCCAAGTGATAAGAGAAAGAAATTTTTTGTTTTTCACATGCAGTAAAGATGGTGTTGAACAAGTAAGGCATGAATAAGATTTCAAACGATAACTTATTATTCTTTCACGTGTGCGTTAAATTAATATTGTCAGACTGGCACAAAATCTGCCTTTGTCGTATATTAACATTTCATTTTTACCATAGTCTCTTGCCTGTAATCCTAAAAGGATATAAAGCTATCACCGAATAATGGAAATTTTGCTTTTGTGTAGTATAATGACATTTTCACCATGTAATACTAAAAGAATGTATCACAGAATAAATAATGAAAATTTGCCTTTGTTGTATAATGACATTTTTGCATAGTCTTTCATTAATACTAAAGAATGGAAAAAATTTATTCCACCCTCAAGTTTATTAGTTAAACGAACATTGTCATTGTATTTCCTATTAATAGTGTTCATTAAATCTAATCTGTTGTACAGCTTTGGACAAAAGTATTGTAAGTTAAATTAAGAAAAGTACGTACCTCGCGTTCCCGCGGTGTCTTAAATTTTGCGTCTATTATTGTCTATTCTTATAAGTTGAATCGTTGGGATGATTAATGTTTCGGGCGAAACTAACTGCTAATTTCCGTTCGTACGTATACTGAAACCTTAATCCGAAACTTCCGAAATCCTTCGCCAAAAACTATCTCAGGATTGAACTTCATTATTTTATATAAATTAAAATAGTAGGGACGGCGAAATATAATTACAAAATAAATTGTATTTTCTTTTATATTAGATACGGTGATTGATAGGAGAAAAGTTCAATGTCGCAATACGTTAACTTAATACAATTTCGGATATTCTCGGTATGTACTCTTTAATAAAACACAAGATTTGAAAGCTTTAAAAAATTTCGGAAGAAATTTTATCTGTATTTAAAAAACACTACTTAACAAACTCTCCATTTAATTCACAGCTATCAAAAGCAAGTAGTTAACGTAACAAATATTATATTAAATCTCGACTTTGGAAAGCCCATTATATCGAAACGACTTATATCAAAGGTCGCGACTGTAAACAATAATTTCTTAATAGCTTATTTGTACATTGCACTAATAGTATGATAATGTTAAATATTATCGTTCTCGTTTTTGAACCTCTATATTTGTAAAACAGCAATTTTCTTTAATTAGATTGCTAGACAAAAAGGAGTGAATGCAATAAGACTCGATTTTTATTTTGTTAGCTCAAAAACAAGCTCGGCTATTGACCTTCAAATTTGCAATAAAACTGCATCATACAGAGCTCGTAAAATGTAATGATAGAAACAGTTCCTATTTCAAGCTCTTTAACTTTTAACTGTTTGAATTAATGCAAGAAAATGCATCAATGAATTTTAATATAAATTTCCTTGACAAAACCACTGACAAATGGTCTCTTCTCTATTAATTGTTTTTTATTTTATATTACATACCTAAGAGAAATTATTCAATTTATGAAAATTCATAGATATATTCTTTAACTATCAGGAACAAGTTTCTTAATATCATATTAATAATAATTTGAAATTTGGTATCAAAATGACAAATTGACATTTTTAATAATTAAGTAGAAATAAAGATTATTTAACAATAATTTTATGACAATAAATTTATAATATAAAGAATATATAGTTGCTTCTATGATTGTTAAATCAGAAAATCAGTTTTTAATATTTAAAGTTATCAAATATTTGTATTTATAAATTGTATTTATAAATTGTATAAACGTCTTAACTAAGCGTCAAATTCAAAATTAAATCTGTAAATATGATAGAATAAGTCTTAATTATATTCATGGATTAATTTTGAATTTAACTTTTAGTTAAGAAGTTTATATAATTTATAAAATACAAATAATTAATAACAAATTGATCTTCTAATTTATAATTATAAAAATTATTGTATATTATTTTGATAAATTTTTAATTAAATATAACAAAATTTTATCTTATTATTTTTTTATATTTATTAAAATTTATAAAATAATTATTTTTAACAATTAATTAAAAATGAAATTAATTTTAATAAATAATTTTGAAAATAATTTTATAAAATATATTTTATAATATAAAGAATATATTTGCAATTTAAAAATTACTTTAATATCAAATTTCTTAAAATATCATATATAAATATACTTTATAATATTAAAAAAAAATTTATTCTTAATATTATATTAATTTGAAATTATTATATATAATAATATATTTCTAATTAAATTAATAATTATTATTCTAATATATATTAATATTAATTAATTTAATATATAATCTGGTTAAAAAAGATTAGTATATTAAAAAATATGATCTAGTGCAAAATGTAGATACATGAACATACTATATATAAATTTTTTTAAAAGTAAAGTATTTATAATTTTAATTATTTAGATATAATTATATGCTATTTAAAAATATTTTTTAATATATAATTTTAATTATTTTATATAAAAAATATATAATTATAATAATAATAATTTTTTTGATTTC